AGCAACTTAGTATACCCTAAACCCCTAAACCCTAAACCCTAAACCCCTAAACCCCTAAACCCTAAACCCTAAACCCTTTGGGCTTCTATATTCAACGCTAATCCCATCGGAATCTTCGTCGGAGCAGGCCAGGGGCCCCACGAATCCACGGTGATCTTTGCCTGCATTGGACACGGAAGGAGGGTTTAGGGTTTAGGGTTTAGGGTTTAGGGTTTAGGGTTTAGGGTTTAAGGGTTTAGGGTTTAGGGTTTAGGGTTTAGGGGACTTCAGACGAGGGCCCTACGGTGATGAGACTACGGTTAAAGGATATGTTGTGGCACAGTCATCTATGGCCTACAAGAGGACAGCTTTTATCAAAATCTCACAAAAGCTGTATGCCCTACACAAGCCATGAAGACGCGAGCCCAATAAGGGAAGATGACCGGGAAGATGTAAACAATCTCCAAAAGGTTATAAGCCTAACTAGAAGAACTTATCCAGCCCATGACGACCCGGGGATACGCCTCAGCTAGACCTAGAGGCTGCCCCAGAGACGATTTAGGTGGTTTAGGGTTTGAGTTTAGCTGTTTGTAGGTTTTTGGGATGGGGGCATTAGGCTTGCAAGATTTGTTTGTGCTTTAGGGAATTGAGCAGCTTCCTTTAAGTGGAAGGTGGGACTTTCGCGCGCTCCGCGCTCCAGCCCGACGTCGAACAAGTGCTCGGGGTGAAGCTCCTACAGCTACAGGGTTTGGGGCCTCTAGGGCCTTTGGGGCCTTTAGGGTTTTTGTTTTTGTGGGGGGGTTTAGGGTTTAGGGTTTAGGGTTTAGGGTTTAGGGTTTGGGGTTTGGGGTTTTAGGTTTTTTGGCGTTTGGGCTTCAGCGATGCCGAAACCAAAACACTGCATTTACGCGACACCTATAGCTGCTGCCAAAAGCCAAGAGCCGACTCTAACCTTCTGACCTCCAGCCAAGCACCATTTCATGTGAGACTCCTGCAAAAAATGGCAGCTTCATGCAAGAGCCGCAATGGAAAACCCCCAACAAAAACCAACATGCGATCCAAAAGTTTATCTTTCGGAAGCACATGCAAAGAAACTTGACTCCGAAGTTGTACGCCCTACAGTAAGTCAGCAAATTGGCTTGCCCAAACTGAATCCCACACCCATTGCCCTACACCCCAAAACCCTACAACACGCACGTCCAAAGTCTTACACAGACCATAAGCCACACACACCCTATTCTAAACCCGAACCAACCCTGCAAACCCGCTCCTGAGAAAACACCCCAAACCGCCCCCAAACCATCAGCCCGAGATTTGCCCACCTCTGAACCGTACACCACAGGCCCCAGCCCCTGACTAACCTCAGCAACCCTGCAAACTCTATAAACACCAAGCAATTACACCCGTAGCCCGAAATCCAGGCTAAGAAGGTCTTATGGTTGGCCTTTCATTTCTTGTTGTGCGACCTTGGAAAAGGGGCAGTAAGCCTTCGATAAAAACCTCGTGAACGCCCGTGTAACAACAACCCATTTATGCCCACAACCATGTCAAACCTTATCCAACCCCAAACAAGCCCCTTGAAATCCTAAATCCTAAATCCTAAACCCTAAACCCCTAAACCCCTAAACCCTGAACCCTAAGACGACTACTGGGCCCCCGACACCCATATCCCAGTTCGGGTGCGTCGTGGACCGCTGTCGAAGCCTTAGAGGCAGCTAGGACTTGGAGGATCATGGGACTTAGTAAGTAAGGTTATAAGTCCCTTAATTGGGGTTATAAGTATAGTTACCCTAATTATAACCTGCCAAAGCCGGCTTCTGTCTTTTCTTATCATTCCTACTTAAAGGATCATTGGACTTAGTAAGCAGGGTTATAATTAGGGTAACTATACTTATAATCCCAATTAAGGGACTTATAACCTTACTTACTAAGTCCCATGATCCTCCAAGTAGAGGCCCCTCATCGAAAACATAAAGGACCCGACGAAGCTCTGCAGCAAAAAATCTAAACACTCCTACGCCTATCTTTTGACCCCGTAGAAACCCTAAGTCCTAGAAACCCCAAACTGTAAATCCTACAAAAGCCCTAAGTCCTAGAAGTCCTAAACTTTAAATCCTACAAAAGCTACAAGCCCTGAACCCTAAGCCTGATAAACCCCATGAACCCCAGAAGCCCTAGAAACCCCTAAACCGCGAAACCCCTAAACCCCTAAACCCTAAACCCTAAACTCTAAACCCTAAACCCTAGACCCCTAAACCCTAAACTCGAAACCCCTAAACCCCTAGACCCTAAACCGTAAACCCTAAACCCTTAGACCCCTAAACCCTAAACCCTAAACCCTAAAGCGGTCCTTCCCGAGACCCTGGCACTTCAGGGTCTTCCTTCTTCATGTCCTCAACGGACCTTTGGATTGGACGAGGGTTGACTTGGTTTAGGGCTTACTTAAAGGATCATGGGACTTAGTAAGTAGGGTTATAATTAGGGTAACTATACTTATAACCCCACTTAAGGGACTTATAACCTTACTTACGAAGTCCCATGATCCTCCAAGTAGGCTTCAGGATGTGGGGTTTTTGTGTGTTTAGGATGTGGGGCTTATGGGTTTAAGGTCTAGGGCTTAGGGGTTAGGATCTTGTACGGTTTAGGGTCTAGGGTTTACTTGGCTTAAGATTCAGGATTTTGCAGGGTTTCGGGTGTAGGGCCGGCAGTCAAACCTTCAATTTACAGGGGGATATAAATTGTTGAGGGTTTAGGGTTTAGGGTTTAGGGTTTAGCATTTAGGGTTTAGGGTTTAGGGTTTAGGGTGATATACTGTTGAACCTCTGGTCAGCACGTGCCAAGCAACTCCCAGACCTTGAACCTCTAAAACCCCAGACCCCCCGCATCCCTGGAAACCCTAAATCCGAATCTTGCCGATCCCATCCAAAAGCTCTGAAAACGAGCAAGGCCTTGCAAACAAAACTCCTCAAAACGCCCTGTAATCCTGCGCAAAAATCCTGTTGCAAGCCCTATGAAATCCGGGCGTCCGGGCATGTCGCGGAAGGTGCCTCCACTACCGGTGAGTATGATCTTCTTCACGCCTCCCTTTGGGATGCCCTGCCTCAGAGGCGTAGGATTTGGGGTTCGGGGTTCGGGGTGTAGGATTCAGGGTTTGGTTTTAGGCTTGACAGGATTTAGGGTGTGGGGCTGACGGGTGGTATAGGTGTTCCTGGGTGGGTTTATAAGGTTCTTCCAGGAATTCCAGTCTTGCTCGCCATGGCGCTGTCTGTCATCCTTCCAGGTAGTCTCCATCGGTGGTCTTTCCGCGAGTTTCGGCTTCTTTTTCCATTGGTGCTTTCCCACGATCAACTGTCACGAGTACGCTGGCCTACCTTTGACCCCTCTCATTCTTCACGCGTTCGCGCTCCTGGTAGATCTTCATGAATTCGCTCTTGTCATCCTTGTCGCCGAAGCTCAGCACAGATGCAACCGCATCCGTGTTGAACTTGTAGACACTTGGAACAAGTGGGCACCTGTTCCCTGATATTACCAGAGCGTAATTCTACTCGTGAAGACCTACGCGACCAGCGATGACAGCACTCAGGTACAGAGTCCTACATTCGGGTTTAGCGGTTTGGGGTTGAGGGTTCAGGAGGGTCGGAGGCATGAATAGTGTCTTCTGTCGTTGACTAGGTTCCATGGCTATACATATCTCTTCGTCCCTGTTTTGGGTGCTATGAAGTTTGCATTGCGTTCAGGAATGTAAGTTTTTGCGCTTCAGGGTCTCAGGCTTCAGCAACCAGACATTCTAGGGGCTCTGAACCCTAAACCCCGAGAACACCAACCGGCGTGACGACCTAGTCATGCCCAGACAGACCCCTAAACCCAGTCCGAAGTCCTAGACCCTTGATGGCGCTGATTGATGAACCCCCCCACTTCCTGAGAGACCTGAACATTAGAATCCTGAGTCTAACACGTGCTACGGAGGGGGGTTGTTTATCAAAGGCCTCCTCAAGCCCCTACTCCTAAGCCTTTTTTGACCCCCACTCGCATAAGTCCCTTGAAAGGGGCTTAGGCTAACGGTTTAGGGCTCAGGGCATACACCAGTATATATAAAACTTGAGTCCTGAGGAACACCCACAATCCCTCTACTCCCCCTTAAACCCTAAACCCTAAACCCTAAACCCTAAACCCTAATCCCTAAACCCCCCCTTAGCACCGGCTGCAGAGCCGCCTTTTGACTGGAGACCAAAGCTCGAAAGTCTCAACTCCTACTTAAAGGATCATGGG